GTGTGTGTGTGTGTGTGTGTGTGTGTGTGTGTGTGTGTGTGTGTGTGTGTGCTGCATGTATACCAAAGTTGAGGGTGTATACAGGGTAGCATGACCAAAGCTCTGCCAATTTAAGAAAATCAAAACTATTACTGAAAAAAAAAGTTCTCCACCATTAAACCTAAATTAATTATCAGAATAGAGAAAATGTTAATATCTTCACTCCTGGCTTGAGTGCAAGCTTTCCCCAGTGTGAGACATAGAGTCCTCTACTTTTATGGTGTATGTGCCTGACTACTGTTTACTTGTAATTACTGTCATTAGTATGTGAGAGACACACAGTAAGAAGTAAAGAGAGGCAGGAGGAGTGTGTCATTGATTATTCAATCTACCTTATTTGTAGCTAGCACTTCATTCATCATTATAGGAGCCTTGCATGTCAGTAAACTGGCCATTACTGGGTCTAATGATATTCCAGCTGAAGAATGGACACCAGAGATAGTACAATCTAAAGTCTGTGTGTTGCTGCAGACAAACTGAATATTGAGTAGAGTTTCTATTTGTGAAAGTGGAAGTAGAGAATCATTTACAAAAGTCTCCAAAACAGATGATTTGATAGCCACTCTGCATAAAAAAGGACAGGCATTAAAAGGAATTTATGTAATAAACAGATCTACAAATGGATTTGAGAAGATCCAATGTAAGAGCAGGTGTTATTATAACTTAGGCCATCCCTAATAACATAATGTATCCTTCATTTTGTACAAAACTGCAATGTAAAAGCACTGAACACTTCAAAGGAGACATTAAAAACTCACTACACAAATCAAATAGCACTGATTTTTTTGACATCCATAGCACTGGAGCACATAGGAACCCAGTTAATTGAAAAATTTTCATGATTAATGCATTCACCCGTACCTCAGAGAAGACATACCTAAATCAAAACAAATTAGCATAAACACATTTCTGCACAACTTTACAAGTAAATATGTATATTGCAAATTATCAAATGTAATTTCATTGTGTGCCGTACAATGACAATAAAGGCGTAAATCAATCAATCAATCAATCAATCAATCAATCAATCAATCAATCAATCAATCAATCAATCAATCAATCAATCAATCAATCAATCAATCAGTCAATCAGTCAATCAATCAAATTCCTTTTTGTGATAGTCTGTGCCATTTCAAAACAACATTGGAACCAAACAAACAAGTAAATTATAGACTTGTGATAATGGCAGAGGTTAAAAAGCAGAGGTTAGAGCTTTTTCAGGTACAAATTCAGCTGCAGCCTTTCTGAGTGGAGTTTCATGTTCTCCCTGTGCATGCTGTTTGCTCCCACTGAACAAAAACATGCATGTTTGGGTAATAGACTACTCTAAAATGTCACTAGGTGTGTGGCCCTGTGATCGACTTGCAACCTGTTCTAGGTTGTACCCTGTTTCTCACCCTATGAACACTGGGGAAAGGCACCAGTTCTCTGTGACCCAGCATGGAAAAGCAGGTAAGAAAAATGGACTCACAATAAATGGCCCCTCTTCAAAATGTTTTATGACCCATTAGGAGAATTTATTTGATAGTGAATTTCCAGTGTGACATCCTCTGTTTGTACTTTACTTGTATCATATTTAGCTGGGTTTGAGCTAGTTCTGAGAAGCATCCTTTGATAGGAGGGTGAATAAAGCAAAAATGATAATGATTCAAACAGCATGAACATAAGAGCTCAAATTTTCTGGCTTCATTTCTTTTTGTAAGTGGACGTGTGTGAAATGAAATTTTACAATTGGGCAGTTTTTTATGTATTTCCCTACAAAATTCGAAAGAGACAGAGAAAATATTTTATCAAGCTACAGATCATACTGATCTTATTTTTTCAGCTAAATACTGTCTTGCTTTTTATCTCACTTGATCTGGTGTTAGGTGTGCAAACAAACTGAAAATAGCTCGAGGAGGCTGTGTAATTGATCCAAAACTCAAAAAGGAACATCCAATTTTGATAGTAGTTTCTAAATAAGTTTAATCTACTAAAAACTTGTTTTGCTTCTCTGCTTTTATGCAGTGTTATATGTAAACCTAGTATAAATCACTGGACAGTTGTAGAGCAGATCTTGAGTAAACCATTAATACCAACAAATGTACATCTTTAAAATTTTTGTACGTTTTAATTTGTCTTTTTCAAATGTAGAATTAAGCATGAAGGGTTATTCATATTAACAAATTACTAATGTAAAATAGTTTGATTTGAATGAACTAAACATAAAACAAAAAGAAACAAATGTGTAGGTCTTCTGGACGGGTTCTTCTCTAATGAAACGTTTCGTCTCTCCTCCAAGAGACTTCTTCAGTCTGAGAGTTTCAGGCAAAATTCAGGCTTTTAAGCACTGCCTCCAGGTGACTGATACTCACATCACATGGCTATCGTTGACACCTTATTAACACATAAATATAAAAACACATTAAACATAAAACTAAAATTATAAACTAGATAACTCTTTTTAAACATAATAACAAAAAAGGAAAATCAAATACGCAAAAAAAAAATTACTACATGATTCTGACACACAAACCCACAAAATAGTGAAATAATGAGATTTTGAGAGAAAGACCATGCCTGAACCACTCCCAGATACACACTTCACTGCAGTACAAAAGCACCTCAACCCACTTTTCAGACGAGTTGGATCTTCGTACTTTCCTCCTCCTCCTTTAATCTTTGAATTTAGTGATACCCAGGGGGGGTCAAGGCTTTTCCAGTTTATGCAGAAAGCTGCATTGAACTCAAACCAAACAACTTCAGAGTCAACCCCTCCCTCTTTCCATCTCATAACCCCCTGTTAGGTCTAGTTTGCAGTAGCCAAAGGGGAAAAAAGGAAGAAAAAAACTTTTTGATGCAATATATAGCTGATATTTCTTACTTTTGGAAGGAACACGTAGGTTGGACATGACAACCAACATAGAGTCTGCTTGGACCCTGAGGATGTAGCTTGTGATGTTCTCATAGTCCAGGAGTTTGGCGGTGGAGATGACCCCAGTACGGTTGTTCACCTTGAAGTGTCCTAAAATCAAGAAAAAAGTAGAATTATATCAAAAAATAAAAGTACAAAAAAACTGAGGTTTTGGAACGTTGCTTAATATTCAGCTATTTGTTCAAACATTCTTTAGCTTTTGAAGTTTAAGAGTTGTTCAAGTGCAGAACAATGCAAGTCTTCTGACAGCTGCCTTTTGCTTTCTGTCATTTCTCTAATTTATCCACATATTTTCTGCTTGTGGCTGAAAAGGTTACCTCACACAAGTCTACAATTCTCTTATTGTCTGGATGCAATTTTCTCCACACTTTGCCTACTTGTGCAAACAAAGCAATATACAGGCTTTAGTGCAAACAATCTTTTCTACTTCTACAGAAACAAGAGAAAAATAGTTAAAGAAAAGTAAAACTGCCCTTATGACTATGAACAAAGACAGTCAATATTAAAAACAATTTCTTTTTTAAGGTTCTTTAAATTTTAAATCTTTAACGTTACAGAAACCATTTTTACAACTGAAATAGAAGATTTGACACAAACTCATCTCTTTAGGTTAAAACAACTGTACATTATATATTTACTATCCTATAGTTCCTATCATAAAATCAGAGTGAGGTTTTGGCAAAATGTGTCAGAAAAAAAAATACATTTTCTTGTACAATAGTAGTAAATAGTAAATATTCACTTAAGTTTGTTTTCTGCATGGTGCATGACGTGTAGCTCATACCTAGTTCATTTCCTGAAACAATGGAGTAAAAGATGGTCTGATTGATGGCGGCAGCTAGAATAGTTCCCACTGGAGTGCCAACTGGAGCCAACTCCTTAACGGGAGAAAACCTGAAATGACAGAGAACACAAATCACGAGGTAAATACAGTTTTCAACACAGTGATAATAACTCAGTAATATAAATGCAAAGGAAAGCAAGATGGAGACAAAGGTTGTTACATAAATTATGTGTGTGCATTTTTTATTCACTTAATAAAACATGGATATTCATTTGCTCTATAATTGTAGTGTATGAATGCTCATTTGGGGCCCAATTTATCATTTTGAGCCTTTGTAACTAAAAGAAAACTACACAAAAAACATTTTCTGTTGGAAATGAGATAAAAATGCAACCAAAAAAATGTAAAAATCTTAAAAAATCTTAGACCATATGTTTAGAAGATAAATTAGATTCCATCATCTGCTTGAACACGATTACCGCTGATCTGCACGAATGTAACCCATGGATGTGGCGGGCATGATTTGGCCCAACTTGCAGGAATAAGCACTGTGCTGAAAGAATCAACTGGCGGAGAATGTGAGAAATACTGGGAGTTAAATATAGAAAATGAAAAAATACAATGGAATGTGGGCTGCAAACAATCAGTATTGTCACCATTAGAAAGAAGCCCTTACTAAGGGCACCTCTTTCCATTACTTGTGATTAACAGAGCAGCGGTGGTGACCTCCTGCCAGATGTGCAAGCACAGGTGAAGTAGAGCAGGAGTGGGAAATCCTGGTCCTCTAAGGCAGCTATTCTGCATGCTTTACTTGTTTCCCTGTTCCAACACAGCTGGTAATCAGGTAAAGTATTCAGGATAACAGCCCTCAAGGACTTGGCATAGTAGCAAGTGTTCAGAGTTTGGTGTACTGAAATTACAGTTGTTCTTACCTATTGCACTTAATGGATTTGAATACTGGCTAGCAACAACAAAACACAATCAAGCTCTTTTTTTAAATAAGCACGCAAATGCTGTGACAGTGCCTAGGACTGACACGATAGGACCACCCTTTGCCGCATTTTGTGGCAGAGGATATACTCATAAGATTGACCAAGAAAATGCTCTATGGATCAAAGAAGATACAAAAACTGCTGGTTGCTCCAGAAGTTGCCCTCGAGAAATCATACTTTTTTAAGGGAACATGTTTAATGTATTTAGCTTCACACTAAGTCTTGAAAGAGCAGTAGGTTTGTGGTGAGGGTTTTATGGTTTTTCCAGGCACACAGTTCAATGCTATATCACAATCAAGCAACTATGTTAACTTCAGTTGTTATGAAAACACTGTATACTGTATATCAAAAATAAATTGGACTTTGCATATAAAAGCCTACCGTTTCCAACTCCCACTTCAGCACATCTTCAAAACAAGGTTTCGGGGGAGGGGTGTTCTGTGGGATGGGAGCTCGCCTAGGGACTGAGCTCCTGGTAGGTGCTATGTACAAATAAGTGGTGCTTTATACTAGGAAGCGTTTAGGCAGCTCCACATGGCCAACACAGGAGATAGAAGGATTTCTCACACATGCAGGAATGAGTCATGTTTTTGTGGAGGGAATGACATTATAACATGATATAAAGCTCAAAGTCAATCCTGCATAATAC